AGACTTTGAGTAATTGTTTTGATTGTTATATGGCCTTTTGAATAGATGGCAACCCAGTAGTTGTCCAATCCTGTTATGACTAATTACTCGAATTTGTTAGGATTTTTATTATATATACAGCAATACTCACGCGAGACGATACTTGAGGTTATATTTAATATCTATAACATCAAGTGAAAATTTGGCATCGAAGCTGCCTGATGTCAGACTTGGCCGTGGCTGGGGTCGGGCCAGCGAATCTGAGACTAATTTTTGCTAGCCAACGTCCAAACTAATTATGCCACCACTGAACCCTTGATTACAATCAAATGCTAATTTAAATTTATAGAAATACAAAAATTAACGAATCGCAGACAAAATTAATGACTAAATTTTTCCAAATATAAAATACTAATGCCAGTTCTATTTTCAATGCTGATATATTTAATTTTTTATTTATATTTAAATTACAATCTATCTTATAATTAAAAACCATTTAGCAATTAATCTGAGACTTAATAAACGTATAATGTTTTTAGAAAATCATCCATTGGTACGTTTTCTAATTTATGAAAATATGTACTAAATTTGATGATAATGATATATCTATGAACTAAAAATTTTTTATAGTTGTATAATTTGTTTTATGAAATGTAGCAGTATTCTTGATACTGCAGTAACTCTTGTTTGCTTATAATAGAGAAGATTATTTTGACGATTTGGCAGACGGGTGGTATACATTTTAATGTACATTTTTTTAAATATTACCCTCATTGCATGTTTCTATGTTTTGCAGATTGAGATGTGATTGTAGATAATACAAAAAAGGGTCAAAATATATCATACTTTAGAATACTTGATCTACAACAGCACATCTAACGCGTCAATAAAACATTAAACACAATAATAATCTAGATAGGGCTTTGCGCACATGTAAAAGTGTGAAAATTTTATTAGAGGGTCCATAAAAAATTTACTAAATGAGATATAAATTTATTTTTACCACATTGTTAAATGCTCCACATTTAATATCTCTAATTGTGTTCTAAATTAGTAATTATTGTAATTGCATTTATGTCTATATGAATGTCGTCCAAATTTAAGGAAGTTCATAAACAATCCAAAATTTACTTGAATTTTATTTAATTGATTTTTTAATTTAGGGATTGAAAGCGTTGCCATATTTTCAAATAATCAAAAATAAAGTTTTTATTTTTTTAAATAAATGTGTTTCCAAGTGAAAATAGCTCTTATCCTGCATTGCTGCACCAACAAAAAAAGTCAGCCCTATTAGATAAATTCTAATAATAATATCATTCAATATAGATGGATTAACCATAGGGTTACGATAAGGTTCTGACTGCTGTTAAGATATGAGAATAATAAAAAAATGAAAACATTGACCGAACATTTGCGTTTTTCAAAAATATATTGCAAGATTGACTGATTTTTTTATTATCGGCAATTTTTTGCTTTTTTGGTCCCGTATCTTCGAAACGGCTAAACCTGCCTTTGCTAAAATCTAATCAGCACGTCAATAGTAATATATATTTTTAATTACTTTTAAATATAAAAATTATCATATTTAATCATCAATCCAAAAATTAGGCCGACGTCTAATGAATCAAATGAAATCAATTATTCACGACGTCATTCTCGAATGAAAACGTATCTATATCAGAACATACTAACACGTTAAGTACTATTAATTATCTAGATTAAATTCCATTTTTGTAATACGCATAATATACTGAATAATAAAATATTAATAACAGAAATATAATCAAATGATAGCAATCAGTCTAAAACCTTACTCGGCCACATGGATTGCGTTTTCTGTCATGTAGAAAGCGGTTTATTTGGATATGACAAGTTAATTGCTGGTGATTTTAATTTCAAATTTAAATAAATTACTTGGAAGCAGATAGAAACAATCAAGGAAAAAGTAAAATTTACTGTCACGACGTTAAGTAATTATAAAAGCACTGGAACTAACCCTTTCAGAGATTGCTATAAATTTTAGCATTTTGTAAAAAAATATCTAAGAAAAAGATAATATTGTGAATGTAAGTTCTTCAATGTCCACAAATTCATGCGAAATAAATTACATGATATTTTCCTTACTTGGTTCTAAAAATTATACACCATTATATATATACGCCAGCATGGACGTTTTCGTCAGAATGTGGCGTCGAGTTCCCATCAATAATATATTTTGTTGATAATTAACTATACGCACTTACACACACACACACACACACACAAACACACATATATATATATATATATATATATATATATATATATATACATATATCGTAGTTATTTTTTAAGATGGTTACTACTTTATACCATTAGTACGTAACCCTAAATCAAAAAACGATTCATTTATAAAACATTTGATGAGTACATATAATTCCTATAATGTAATTGGTTTTTATGAAATCCTATTTGTGTTATTATAGTCGATAAAAGGAAAAACATTAATGAACCAGATAGTTCTCATACTAATGAATAAATATAAAGCTGTCCCCGCTATTTAAATAACTCATCACTAAATTATTAATGTGGAAAGGAAGTTTAATGTCATACACGGGTATTTGAATCACAATAATAAAAAGTATTCATATAAATACTACGGGTTTTGTGTCAATAAAATATATGAGACGTTTTGTTTTAACTTTATATTAGACGGTGATGCGAAATTTTTAAACAACTTCTATAATCCAATCGAAAGTAGGACCAAACTTATCTACAAACATGAAATTGAAAAACTTAAATTTTTTCTAATTCTAAACTTCGAGAAAAAGTATGACTATTTAAACATGGAATTAATATTTCAAAAAATCTTCATAGAGAAAATTTTATCTTCCATGAGAATAAAATAAAATGCAAATCCAAACCAACTAAATAAAATTTCAATAATACATTTTTTTTGCGCTCTAATTTGACTTCGAAACTTTCATCTCTTTAATCACCGTTGATTATGAATAAGTATGTATTTTTTACGATACTGGAACCCAGTAGTTATCAATATTACGAAAATTATTATAATATAAAACATCAGTTTATATCTTAAATACAGTTTAATAACATCATATCATATCAAGTAAAACACGTTTGGTTGTTAATTTACGATCAATATTTGTCTTATTTGTGAAAAAATCTTAATAAAAGACATAAACAGGCATGTTCACACTTTGTACATCAATAAACATTGTTTTTAAATGGTAACTGTAATGTGTTCTGTAATTAAAAACTGTTTTAATTAATTCGGCAAAAATATGATGTTAATTTTTGAATGTGAAATCTCAAACGATAAAGAACTTGTTCGAATAAGAGGAACATTTTTGTATAAAGCAATATTTGGTATATAATTACATTTTAAATATTGTGATTATTTTAATTGAAAATCATTTAGAATTAATGAACGTTATATAGGAGTTTAACATTTTCATACATTTACTGGTTACATGGGAATCATTCAACAAAATTTTACAATATTTTATTAAAAATTATAAGGATACAGTCAAATTTTAACCATTTAAAAGAGTTTTATATAAAAAGCGTTACAATTTGTATGAAATTTGTAAGTAACAAAATTCAGCTTAGTGACCTTAACAAAAAACTGTTAAACTAGTTGAATTTAACTGGATTTGGGGCTTTATAAGATAATTTTAAAGATACTTCAATATATAGAATTTTCAAATAAGAATATTAAGTTAAATACAAAAAATACGGCTTCGTGGTTTATAAATTAATAGCGATAGAAACATTGAATTCAGAAAAGGATTATAATTTTTTATCATTATTCTAGAGTGCATTTGTATCTTAATTCATGAAATAATGAGTAGTACTGCCCTAAGGCAGGCCTGTGAACTGATTCAAACTCCAACTCAATTCAGGGAAGAATATTGTGAGAGATTTACTATTGCCATTTCACACAGCAGTGCCCGGAAATCATTTGGAAATACACTTTTTGATATGTATTTTCAAGTAAAAATGGGCATCACTGCTGCACGATAGAAGGTTGTCCAGAGCGGGGTCCGAACAAACCAGTCTACACGAGTCAGTAAGCTTAATTATACAAAGAAAACATCGTCCAGTCATTATAGTAAGTTCACCTCGGAATTCGAGATACCCAGCCCCAATAATACAAGTACACCCTACCATATGTAGGTTTTGAGACAACTTAGTCATAAGTATTTACAGACGTATAGGTATCTGTAATTGGGTAACTCGAAGTCCGAGATTCTTACCTAATTTAAGCTTTAATGACTGGACTAACAGACCAAAATCCTTAGAATGATCGTGAACTTTCCCTGCTATGTAACTAAGAAAACAATCTGCAATGATTTAAAAACAAAGTTAACAAGAAGCTACGAGACTTTGCATCAAAAGACAAGACTGAGTTAGGAAACCAGCCTAACCAGTTAGCAAATAATCTTTTACAACCTGGACAGAGAAGGGGGCTAAAAAGAACTTGGCCACTGGATAACGCCTGATCAGACAAGATAATTTTGTTGGAGATTATTTAAATAAACACAATATGTATTTAGTTTTCAGTTTGACTTATAGGAATATTTTACATTTTTGATTGCTAGAATAAAGTAGAAAATAACAAAATGGAAGCATGAAAGCAGAAGTTCGAGAAGTAAAAAGTGAACTATGAACTGGAAGGCAAAGGTGGTCAATAAAAGGCGGTGCACTCACTCCACAGACCTATCTTTGGGTCGGGTGGAGCACCAATACAATAATATTATATATAACTCGCGTGTCTCAATTACATTTCATTTAAACAAAACAAAACAAGCCAGAATCTCCCTATTCATGATACAGTTCTACTGACCATCGCCGCGGTAATTGAAGTGATGCAAATGACCGCGCCGGCAGATGTCACAGCTGCACACAATACGTCAAGGTAACTGCGAAGTGTGCCACTCAGGTTTTAACTTTTAACTTCATCTTCAACTTTAATTGAGACGATTATTATAACACAGGTTCTTCGTAGTCGGCCTAAAATGCTAAACGTTTTATCACAACCTACCCCAACGGCTGCGAGGAGTGAAGGATTAGCAAGGAAGCTGGTGGAAAAAGGTAGATCGATGATGGCTGAAATTTCCTGTTGCTCTCTTGAATTATTCAAGGTACATTTTATTAGTTAAACATGTGTTTTGTTATCATCATTGTTATATAAAATTTACCACGAGTCAATCCAGTTTTAGTAACTTCAAAATTGCTTTTTGTCATGCAGCATATGAAACATTAAGATTTATTTCTAATGCGTAGATTTTTCATACTTAGATATATAGTCATTTAAGCTTAAATTAGGTAAGAATCTCGGAATTCAAGATACCCAGCTGTAAGTCTGTGAACATTTGTATATTCACACCCTAAAGTTGATCTCAAAACTTACATATCGCAGGGTATCAATACTATATGTAGGTTTTGAGACAACTTTAGGGTGTCAATATACAAGTATCTACAGACTTACACCTGGGTATCTCGAATTTCGAGGTGAACTTACTATACTTATTTTTTCCTTTCTCAATTACTGTTTTTCTGCTACAAGAGGCATCACTATTTTTCGTCTGTTACCTTTTTGTTGATTTCTTTGAAATATCAAGAATGGTCTATTTAAAATTATAACATCACCATAAAACGGCTTAATTTTGTAAGTATTAAATCTAACACTACAATTGGTATTTTTTTGCTTAATTATAAAGATCATAAACTTATTATACTCAGGAATAATTTTATAACGAGTTTTAATATCTAGATTAATAACAACATAAATATAATATACGCGGCAGGTGTTGACGAAGGTGCGATAAAATAATTCAGTGATCAAATTGAAATGCTTCTGTAATTTTTTTTTTCAAGACATGAAGTATTAATTAACTTTTGAATTGATTTAATAACTTTAATAAAAAGTTTGAATTTTATAACTCTTCATTAACTTTTTGATAGAAATTATAATTAAATGAAAAGTATTAAAATTTGGCTACGACTTTTCTGCTAATTATGAAGAACGGCTTTGTAATTTCTTATAGAATTACATCTTAGCTTTTTAAAATCGGTTCAGCGGTTTTTGAGAAAACATCAACGAAGATCGGCTCACATACACACATGCATACTACATACACACATGCATACATACATAGTCAAATGCCAAATCGAAGTTTACCGTATTATTAATAAGTGCGATGTTAAATGTAGCCAAAGTGAGGTGATAAATAGACTCGATTTTCATTTTATTAATTCAAATCAATTCGAATATGAAAAAAAACAAGATTAGTTTCACCATAGGCCCCAGTAGGGTGCTCGTTTTAGTGCAATAATGGCTAAAGTTTTTGTCATCTTGGGATGTGAGTCCGGTAACCTAGCTTGCAAACACACAAACAAATCAAAATTCTAAAAGGTAAATGACATATTTTCAACACATTTGTTACGTATTAAAATGTCTGATAAAGAAATCCAAGCTCACGATTTAACTTTACGTAAAGAGCAGTGGTGTTGTCGAGCCGGAACGCACCGGAACGTGGTTCCGGCAAAAGAAATTAAAAAAAAATCGTTACAAACTATAAGTTTGTATGAGCATGTCTATTTTCTGCTACTGGACAATTTAAAAAGATTTACTTGTTAATTATGGTTAAATTCAATTTAAGTAGAATCATTTACATCCACTTTGTTCTGTAGTAAATCTCAGAAATATCAATAAAATCAATGCAGTGATTTAAAATAGCCGTGGGTGGCAAGATTATCGATTTTCCTCCAGGAGGTAACGGATACGCCTCGATCTCCACGAGGGCACCTGTCTCTCGCTCGCGACATTAATCGTTCCGAATGAATATTCATCGACAGGGAATTATCAAAATAAGGAAAGTGCTATTGACAAATACCTGTACTGGACGACGAATGATTGACGTGCGGCTCATTCTTCAGCTGCTGAACAAAAATTACTAACGAACACCGCCAAATTAACGAGATCTGCTTGGTTGTGGGAAATCACACAAATCGTAATGATTTAGATGAGAGGCGTTGACTATCACCAATTTGACCATTTTTGATATTACATATAAATCAACAGAAATGGAATAATATATGAAAAGGTTTTATGTTTCAAATGATAAAAAATTCATTTAATTCATTTTGAAATAATAATTTAATATGTTTTATCAAGTTAGTGGAACTGTACATTATCACAATTGTTTTTTTATAATTTTATAATTTTATTTGAACAGCGATCAGAACTTATGGGTTCTATGAGCTGTTGTGATTAATATCTTACAAAGCACGTTTGTTTTTATTACAGATGGCAACCCAAACAGTTGCCACATCTCTGTATGATAATTTTTTATTACAATCTCTGTAATAGGGCAAGTATGTCGCAACAATGCCGGGTGAGGGCTATTTTTACTTGGAAACATATTGCTATCTATATTTCCAAGAGAAAATCGTTGTCACTGTTGCCTGACAACAGGCTGCTCGAAGTGGGTATCGAACCCGGGACCTCTGAAACAAGTCCCGTCGCTTTTAACCGCTTACCTACGGGCGAGCCCTATCACAATTCTAATTCTATATTAATTGAATATGTTTTTTACACCATGTTGATATAAAGTTACACTCACTGGTTTTTGATTTTACATTTTCTGAATTTCTTTTTATTTTTATCTTGCTTTATATTGTAATCACATAGAAGGCGTTTCAATGAAAAAACTGTTGTTTTTTTTACTATATTTTAATCAAAATTATCTTATGTTACTTTATATTGTAATCACATAGAAGGCGTTTCAATGAAAAAACTGTTGTTTTTTTTACTATATTTTAATCAAAATTATCTTATGTTACTTGATGTCTTATTATCAGTTGTAACTAAAATTAAAACTAGAAAAAATTTTAGTAGATAATGTATATTTATTTAACAGTACTGATTGTGAGTAGGACCGTTTCTTGCAGTTTATTGTATCTTTTTCATAATCAACGGTTCAGAAGATTTAAATGAATTTTTGATTAAATTCAGAAATCAAAGATGCAATAAACTGAATATTTTGTAAACGATCACTTGGGTATTTATAATTGAGAAGTTGGTACCAGAGTGGACTATCCCACAAATCGGGACAACCTGAGATTCAATAAGAATATGATGAGTTTTTTACTAAATAACGTTGACAAAGTGAAATAAATAAAATCATTATATCTGTCGTTAAATGGCAGCTAAAAATCTGCTTTGGCTCTGAAGTTGTTTCACGAAAACCCAGATTGGAATGTAGGGCTTCTATTTTATCTATATTTGATTAAATTCAGAACTCAAATATGCAATAAACTGAATTGATTGTATACGATCACAAAGGTATTTACAATAGAGTTAAATGGCAGCTAAAAATCTGCTTTGGCTCTAAAGTTGTTTCACGTTTCACGAAAACCCAGGGAATTATCAAAATAAGGAAAGTACAGGAATATAGGGCTTCTATTTTATCTATATAATGAAAAATTGAGTGAAATAATGTAAAGATGAATAGTAAGCATATAAACTAATTGGTGTTAATATAATTTTGAAAGATTTGAAAAAAATAGCAAATTTGACACGTTTTGATGGCGTTGACGTATGATTGGGATAGTCCACTTCTGTTTATGGACTGGCCAATTATAAATAGATGAAATATAAAATTTATCTAAAATAGTAATTAAAATAATCATGTTGCATGTTGCAAATGAGGATAAATATATAATAATTAATAATTATTGAATAATGTTAAGGATTATGATGTAACTTTGAGTAAAATTTATTTTGTCTTAGTTCCCAACAACAATGATGTCTTTGTCAATTTCCTTAATCAATTTCGAAAGTTCTCATTCAGTTTACCGAATTCCGCATCTGAATTTGTCATAGCGGGCGATATTCGATCAGAGATCAGAGATATCAACTTAATGTAAATTCTCTCTCTCGATCGATGATTTCGTTTGGTTCTCACGCAATCGGCGTCGCGTTTTTCGCTAATTTCTTTCAATCATTCGGCTTCACGCATTACATGCATTTTCGCTAATGACCGCACGTGACGATATCACATATATTCGAAAAGTACGCCCGCGGTGATATCTTAATCCATTGTATTCCTTCCAGGGAAAAAATCGATTTTCGATCGAAAAAAACGCGACAATCCGGTTTTGATTTGGTCTCACTAATTACTGCACAGAAGCCTGCGACATTTTTGGCACAAGCTGCAATTACGGATTGGCATGTTTTTATGTTATAACATTTTTTATAAGATACCGAAAACTGATTGGATGCTCATATCCAAAAAACTGGGTGCGAGTTGGGCGATTACCATCAACTACATCTGTATACGCATTTTTATATGTACATATGTACAGGCATACACACGATTATACATACATAGCAAATATAATATCTCTCAATAATGAAATTAATTATATATGAACGCTTTGCAAACACAATGTTCCAAGTAGTAATATATAAATATATTATTACTTGAAAATATAGATAAAAATTGTTGCCAAGTTAAAATATTTTTTCGGGCATTACTGCAATAAATTCAAAAATCATCACAATCAGATTCAATTAGCTTTCTAGAATATAATATACGCATATCAATACTAAACTTCAAGTTGCTTCTAAAAGCTATTACTTAAAATTGAAATAGTTATATTTATTAATTTCACTAGGTACTCAATTATTGGATATGGATAGGTACTCAAACTTAATATTTTTTCAGTCAAACGATATTGAATATTTAATAACAAAAAACTTTTAGTAGACCAAACAATTTATTTCGTATAGCTAGAATCACTAACAAGGAAGGATTTATAAATAAATACCTTACAGTCCTTCCCGATTAAATTTTAACGGTCTTCGGTTCTTCGCCCCATAACGGTGGATGCTATGACGTCCAATTCTAAAAACTGACGGTTCTCTTTTACCACTACTTATAATTTAGAATTAAAACCTTATAATAGATACTTAATTATACACAAAAATCCAAATGTTAAAGTGAAATGATTTTAGCCAACTGTTGCCATTAATTGCGAAACCTAATCTAAATATCCACAATATTAGTTCCAAAATGCATATTTAATACCTCATAAGTAATGGCCAAGTCACATGAATATGTATCTATATTCAAAA